CAGGTCGTTTATAACTTCACGTGGCTGTCAAGCGGTCCTCTCGGAACTGTTCCGGGAATAAGTCATGGAATCATGCACTATGGGCACGTCTACGCAAATGGGATACTTTCTTCTCCTCGATGTCTATGAGGTGATGAGAAAATGCGCTCTTACTAGCAAATTTGCACTAGTACTCCTCTACCGAGCGGCCCCATGCAGAAAGGCAAAGGACTCTTGTTCTATCTTCCCACGAATAAGGCGCGGTTGAATCTTGGCTTCCAGAATCTCTTTGTGTCGGTCCCTGTCATCTCATCATACTCGTCTTCCGTCCTCGTACACTAGTAGTCGTTTTACCAATCCTTGGAATTGGCCCACGACTATAGCCTGTTCTCGCTCGACAGGTGGGTCCGGAGATCTATGGGACGACTTTCTGGATAGCCACTAACTATTTGACATGAACAGTATAGCCGATTAAGAAATAACTATACTATACTTGAAACATTTAATGAAGTTAATGAAAGCCGAAAACACCTAGCTTGGCTAGAGTTCCAGTGTACTTAACTCTTCTGAGTTCTGGCTAGAGTTCTGACTTAGGCTGGAGTCCTTGGACTTAGTTGTTCTAGAGTTCTGCCTAGAGTTCTCTCTAGAGTTCTCTGCCTCAAAGGAGTAGCTATCTAGGCCCCTGATATATCATACTTAAACTTGAATCAACACTTGCAATAATAAAGTCTGAGTTAGGTGACTGTAGCGCCCTGTTTATTTATGGATTATTTAAAATTATTTATTGTTATTGATATTATTTATTGTTATTCCTATTATTAATATAATTATTATTATTATTATTTAATGAATGCCTAATTGTGAATTAAATGTTTAGATGTCTAAGTATTATTTATTTGTCAAATTGTAATTAGATGCCTAAATGTCTAAATGTTATTATTATTTATTCAATAAATTGTGTGTCTTATATATATAAATAATATTCGTTGTATTTTAATTTTTAACGTCGAATGATTCAAAAATTGAGCCCGAGAGCCGAATTATTATCTTGAACCCGCACGCGAATCGGCCCAGCAGAACTGAACCGGCGCGCAAGCCAACCCGCGCCCCAGCCGCCCCAAACCCGCGAGCCCGGCCCGGTTTTCAGCCCCTAGTGCACGTGTGTGTGTGTGTTATCTTGTGTGACAAGATTAGTAAACCTAATCTATTTAATTGTCTTCTAATTCTCTCGCTCAACACAAGAACCCGTCGCAACCCGCAGCTTTTCTCATATGTGAGCTTCTCTCACCCCGTTAAATCGATCGCGCCACCAAAATCTTTCACCTCCAATCCCATCATCATCTTCCATTCTTCCCGTCGCCACCATCACCAATCCTTCGCCTCAAAACCCTACAATTCCGGCGAACTATTGGACAAGCCCAACTTGGGCCATAAGGTACACTCCCCCTATAAAAGAGGGCTAAGGTATCCCATTCTCACACTCTCTCTACATTCATTACTACACTTGGGATTTGGAGTAATTCTGACTTGAGCGTCGGAGGCCCGACGCCGGGTGTAATAGCCCATTTTTATTTTAATGTAAATTACGTATTTAATCTCGTAATGTTCATATTATTCTCGGAATCAGTAAATATATAAGTCAATTTATGTTAAATTGCTCGATAAAAATATTATCGAATCAAATCGTACTTGATAGCACGTTAAATGTGTTAATCTTGCGCTAATCATCCGTGATCGTACGCATAATCGTACTTAGTGTTTCATCATATTCATCAATTATGTTCATTTAAGCTTAAGTGTTCATTCAACCATCATATGGTCTTAAGTATCGGTCATCCGCATGACAATGGTGCGTGATTTCTTCTAATCGCCTTAGCATAAGTTAATCACGCGTGAATGATGCCTTAAGCATGCTTAGGTATATAATTATCACAAGTGGATGGAAGCTTGGGACAAGTCACGTGAGTTCCTATCAATTTTATCACATATGGCCTCTTCATGACAAGTACAAGATGACTAAGCCAACAATAGTACACCTTATGCCCTAGATGCGTGGCAAATGGCACGAGCCCATTGGCCGTGAGTTTAACCTCCATTCTTTCATTATTTCACCGTCTATAAATCAGGTGCTTGGACATGTTTTCAGCTTATAACCTAAGCTATTTCCTAAGCAAACTTTAAACAAGATTAAGATATATTAATCCTATTTTACCGTACGCACGCGAGGAAAAAGAAGGGACCGAACTATCATCAAAATCTTGCCAACTTTCACTAGGCAATTGAAGGGTAATATGATGCTGACCCTGTTATTATGTTAATTGTTTCATGCTGAGTTCAAATCATCAGTCTAAGTTCATATAATGACCCTAAATGCGCTCGAATGTACATTTTAGGTCATATCGAACCAACTCCTTATGTAGTCGACATCTCTCAAACAAATTTGGTGTCATTAGTCTTTATTTAATGTGTTATGTTCAGTCAAGAAAGATAGCTCGAGATAAGTTGTCATTTTGTCCATGAATTGGCTACAGGAAGTGGACTGCGCACGTAGCGCACGCCCACGGGACGTCCCTTACCCTATCATGATATCTTTCATTGTGATCATATTTGTTAGGGACATTTATGTTTCAACAGCCTTTAAATGATGAATTATGGTCAATCTATTCATATTGCTCGAGAAAAGTTCATGTTTGGTCGAGGGTACGAGTTAAGGCCGTCGGATGCGCCTATCGTGCACGCCGTGGCCAATCATGCTAAATAAAATCAAATTTCATGTTATTATCATGACCCTCAGACCTATGTAAGTGTAAATATGTCAATCATGTCAAGTTATTCCATATTGGTCGAGGTAAGTTGCCGAACGGCCGGCAAGGGCCGGTCGTGGGCATGCTGCCGCACGTAGCGGCCATGCATGCTGGCAGACAAGCAGACGGGCGCTGTCTGTGCGTGTACGTCCAGTCGGGCGTCATGTACGGCCTCGGTCCGCGTCTATCGTCAGTCCAATAAGTGCTTAAGGCTCGCAGCGCATCTTCATGCACGATAGTGCGATTAGCGTCAAGCCAGCGGGCTTCGGCCAGTGCCAGTCGCACGGCCTAACGCCCGGTATCGCCCAGGGTCGCCCGGCAGCGCCCGTGCGGTAGCAGCTTACCCCAGGTGATGCCAATCCGCGCTTAAACGTGCGACGCCGTGTCCAATGGCTTGTCTGAGGTGCCGATAGCGCCCAGCAGTGCCCAGTTGGCGCCTGACCGTGCCAGGTTCGCGAGACTGCATGCCCGATCGCACGACAGCACGCGCGATTGGCCACGGTCGAGCCCAGTCATGCCTAGCCGTGCTCGTTTGGTCCGGGGGGAGGGGTCTGGCCAGTCGATAAACCGACCGGTTTAGACCGGTTTTGGTTAACTTTCATATCTAATGACTTGAGTCATGTTCAAATCAAATTTTCAGTAAAATTCGGAGTCCGATAATATTTAGAAAATTTATATCAGTCCGGTTTCAATAATTACTCGATTCCGATCATATTGGTCAAGTCCGGATATCATATTAAGTCAAGTCGAGCATCTTAACAATTAAATTTATGGATCTGACCATAGTACTTAGTAATTGTTTATATTTATGTTTCCGCTTGGAATGGATGTTGGCCGGTTCAGGTTGCCATACTTCCGTTCTAAGTTCTAGTGGCGTCATCGACCACTAGTATGTGCACATGGATTCCGGCTGGAATTATTATCATCATTATCATTATTATCATGGCAGCCAGTAGATTCACGGGTCCCGGTCCGGTTATACTGTTGACCAGGAAATTCACGGTTATGTTATATTCTTCTGATCATGATGTTACTATTATTATTGTTGTTTACTTTAGTATGAGTTCCTACGGAGTACAGTGATACTCACTTCCCATTTTTATCAAATTTTTCAAGTCACGGAGCCGGAGCGGAGCTGTGAAGTTGACGGATGGATCGATGTTAAATATTTTATTATCTTGTTTTGTCACGCTATGTTCCGCTGATTTCACTGTTTGTCAACTTTAGTCTTTTGATCCGATTTCACAGTCGGATTGTATATTATGTTAATCCATTTTTCTGTAAATTTTAAACGGCCGTAACGGATTTTTAAGGATAAAATAAATATTATAGTAACACTCCGAATCATAATCTCAAATTATATTTTAATAAATGTCTTAAAAACGTACTCTGATAATTAAGTTAAAGCGGGGTGTTACAGTTGGTATCAGAGCACGTTTTTGCGTCTCTGAACAGGTTTAAGAGTCAAAATGTTTTTAAAATATTCGATCACGTCAAGTTCACACTCCGCCGGCTACCAGGTAAGTGCTGATACATGTTTTAAATCATAAACAATTTACTATGCATATGCTCAGTTATGGAAATTACTGTTATGGACTAGTTAAGGTGCTCGAATCATGCTCAGGGTTTATAACCTAAAGTATTCATGATAGAGTTGGCAACTCGTCAAGAAATTTGTATGTCCCATAAATTAGTCAATGTATTTTGTTCTTATAATTAATCATGTCAGATTCTTCCAATATTCAGATGTCGACACATAGAGGTTCGGGCCATCGTGAGCCTTCACAATCCAAGGTAGTCGCACAGTTTCGCAACTATCATCCAGAAAAGTTTTCCGGTCAGGGAGATCCCCGCATTGTTGATGAATGGGTCCAGGGCCTTGAGATGATTTTTGAGGTCATGGACTGTCCCGAGCGCTATCGCGTTTTATGCGCACAAATCCAATTAACCGGTGATGCACGACTTTGGTGGAACGCCTACTGGGGGATGCGTCCTGGAGAAAAAGAAAACTGCACGTGGGACATGTTGAAGGAGTTAATTCGCGACAAGTATTATTCCCCTTACTACAAAGCAGAAATGGAGCGTCAATTTTTGGCGCTTAAACAAGATACTCGTACAGTGGATGAGTATGAGAGAGAATTCACTCGACTTGGAGCTTTTGTATCTGACTTGATGACCACAGAAGCAACAAAGGCGAGACGTTTTATCGACGGGCTTTCACCAGTAGTCCGTCACAACATCGTGGGCCATGGAGTCAAGTCCTATGCCCGTACTGTCACCATTGCAGGGGAGGTTGATGCCAGCATACGGAGGGAAGCCAAACATGATCGTCTTCAGCCGCTTTCTTCCACCCCATCATCATCAATACCACATGCTCAACCCGCAGCTGCCCCGCAACAAAGATACAAGAACAAGAGGAAGAATAAGAGAGGCCTAGATGACCGCAGGAACCGTCAGCGACAGCAGCAGCCCATACCACCTTGCCCTACCTGTGGAAAGATTCACCGCGGAGATTGCTTGATGGGCCAGAACACTTGCTACTACTGCCGACAGCCTGGTCACATCCGACCTAATTGTCCACGATTGCAACAACAACCTCAACAACCTCAGCAACCTCAGCAGCCCAGGCAGCAGCCACCGAGACAGCCTCAACAACAGCAACGCGGGAGACAGCCAGCTCATGTCTATGCAGTCGATCAAGCAGAAGCAGCCCAACACCCAGGTACCATGTCTGGGATGATTATACTTAATGATGTTCCTGTTTTTGCTTTATTCGATACCGGTGCAACACACTCTTTCATTTCACGACGATGTCTTGATGCCATTGGGGTTCATACTATTTCTGCTGTCGATCCTCTCGAGGTGAGTCTAGCCTCGGGAAGAAAGATAGTAACTGATGCTAAAGCAACCGATCTTAGCCTTTCAGTCGGTGGACGTGTCTTGCCTACCGATGCTTATGTTCTCGAGATGAGGAATTTTGACCTCATTCTCGGCATGGATTGGTTAACATATTTTCATGCAGATATTCGATGTCATGACCGGGAGATTACTCTCTATCTTCCGGGAGATGATTCTATCACTTTTTACGGCTCCAAAACTCGTACTTTACCACATGTTGTTTCTATGGCGAAAGCCAAAAAAATGTTGCGGCGTAATGATTGTCAGGGTTATCTTGTAAGTCTTATTAGCGATGAACCGAAAGCACGGACACCTCACGATGTTCCTATTGTTCGCGAGTTCATGGACGTGTTTCCGGACCAACTTCTAGGAGGACCACCTAACTGGCAGGTAGAGTTCTCTATTGATCTTATTCCAGGGGCCGGTCCTGTGTCCAAAGCACCATACCGCATGGCGCCAAAGGAGTTACAGGAGTTAAAGACTCAAATTCAGGAATTACTTAAACTCGATTTTATTCGGCCGAGTGTTTCACCTTGGGGAGCACCCGTTCTCTTTGTCAAGAAGAAGGACGGATCCAAGAGCATGTGTATTGATTACCGGGATCTTAACCAGTTAACTATCAAGAATAAATATCCGCTTCCCAGAATCGATGATTTATTTGACCAGATGAGGGGAGCTTGTGTATTTTCTAACATTGATCTTCGTTCAGGCTACCACCAGCTGAGAATCAAAGAGTCAGATATTCCAAAGACTGCATTTCGTACGCGTTACGGTCACTACGAGTTCGTAGTATTGCCGTTTGGGCTCAGTAATGCCCCGGCAGTATTCATGGACTTGATGAACCGTATATTTCACCCTTATCTTGATCGGTTTGTTATTGTTTTTATTGATGATATTTTGATCTACTCGAAGAGCCAGAAGGAACACGAGGAGCACTTGAGGGTTGTTCTTGAAACCCTCAGGCGAGAAAAGTTATATGCAAAATTCTCCAAATGCGAATTCTGGCTCGAGCGAGTTACTTTCCTTGGTCATGTTATCACGCAGGCAGGTATTGAGGTTGATCCATCCAAGATATCTGCTATTCAAAATTGGTCCAGACCCAAGAATCCATCCGAGGTCCGTAGTTTTCTCGGTTTGGCGGGTTACTATCGCAGGTTTATTGAGGGATTTTCCAGAATTGCCCTCCCATTATCTCAACTAACGAGGAAGTCTGTCACGTTCAAGTGGACTGATCGTTGTGAGTTCAGTTTTCAGGAGCTCAAGAGGAGATTGACCACGGCACCCGTATTAATTATACCGGATCCTACTCGGGGTTTCACCATTTACAGTGATGCCTCGAGACAGAGTTTGGGATGTGTTCTAATGCAGGATGGCCAGGTCGTTGCTTATGCCTCACGACAATTAAAGTCGCATGAACAGAATTATCCTACACACGACTTGGAACTTGCAGCAGTGGTGCATGCCCTCAAGATTTGGCGACATTATCTGTATGGCGGTAAATGCGAAATTTTCACTGATCATAAGAGCTTGCAATATATTTTTACTCAGAAAGGGCTCAATATGCGACAGCGGCGTTGGTTAGAACTTGTGAAAGATTATGATTGTACCATTCAGTATCATCCGGGGAAAGCAAATGTCGTTGCTGATGCCCTAAGCCGCAAGGTGAAAGGTGATTTGACTTACGTCGTCACTCAGCAGAACCATCTTATCCAAGAGTTCGCTCGGATGCAAATTCAGGTTGTTGATGCACTTCCTACGGTGATTATAGGGAGTGTTAGTGCTATGCAGGTTCAACCAACGTTAAGGGAAAGAATCCGGCGGGAGCAGACATCTGATGACTTTATTCGTGTTATTAATGCCAAAGTACGTGCCGGAGGTGTCGAGGGTTTTCATTCGGGTTCAGGTGGAGCCTTAGAATTTCGGGGCAGAATCGTGGTGCCGAAAGTCGAAGCGTTGCGAAAGGAAATCTTGTCTGAAGCTCATACCACACCTTATTTAGCTCATCCGGGAAGTACGAAGATGTATCATGATTTGAAAAGATCGTTCTGGTGGCGTGGAATGAAGAAGGACGTTGCCGATTTTGTAAGGAAATGTTTAACCTGTCAACAAGTCAAAGCAGAACACAAGAGTCCCTTGGGCCTTCTGCAACCACTCGAGATTCCGAAGTGGAAGTGGGAGAAAGTCACGATGGATTTTGTCACAGGGTTACCGAGGTCATCCAAACATCACGATGCTATCCGGGTCTTGGTGGATAGATTGACTAAGGTTGCTCATTTCATACCAGTATCGATGAATATGTCTTGGACAAGTTAGCCGAGATTTATACCGAGGGAGTTATTCGACTTCACGGAGTGCCTGTTACAATTGTGTCAGACAAGGATCCCAGATTCACTAGTAGATTTTGGGAAGGTTTGCACAAGGCGATGGGCACGAGATTAGAGTTTAGTTCCGCTTATCATCCAGAGACTGACGGACAATCTGAGCGGACTATTCAGACATTGGAAGATATGTTGCGATCTTTGGTTGTTGACAGGGGTGCTAAGTGGGAGTCGTTGTTACCATTATGTGAATTTACTTATAATAACAGTTATCATTTTTCTATTCAAATGGCTCCTTACGAAGCACTATATGGTCGTAAATGTCGTTCTCCTCTGTATTGGGACAACGTCGGTAAACGCCGAGTACTTGGTCCGAGTATGATCGAGGAAACGGCGGCAGATGTAGAGTTGATCAGACAAAGACTTCAGACGGCTCAGAGTCGGCAGAAATCGTCAGCCGATCAGCACAGACGCGATATCCAGTTTGAAGTTGGGGAACGAGCCTTTCATAAAGTTCGTCCATTCCGAGGGATCGTTCGATTCGAAAAGAGAGGGAAGTTGCATCCTCGTTACATTGGCCCGTTCGAAGTTCTCAAACGAGTGGGCGAAGTTGCTTACCGTTTAGCCTTGCCTCCCGAATTATCCAATGTTCATAATGTTTTCCATGCGTCCATGTTACGTAAATACGTGTGCGATCCAGATCATATTCTTCAACATACTGATATTCAGATACAACCAGATTTATCTTACGAGGAGAAACCGGTAGCCATTTTGGACCGCGAGGTTCGTCGACACCGGAGACGTGACGTTCCCCTCGTTCGTATTCAATGGGATCGCCACGGTGCCACTTGGGAGCAAGAGGCTGATATTCGTGCTCGTTTTCCTGATTTCCAGTTTTGATGTATATATATTTCCTATGTTTCATGTATATGTTTTGATATTTCCGAGGACGGAAATATTTTAAGGAGGGCAGATTGTAATAGCCCATTTTTATTTTAATGTAAAATACGTATTTAGTCTCGTAATGTTCATATTATTCTCAGAATCAGTAAATATATAAGTCAATTTATGTTAAATTGCTCGATAAAAATATTATCGAATCAAATCGTACTTGATCGCACGTTAAATGTGTTAATCTTGCGCTAATCGTCCGTGATCGTATGCATAATCGTACTTAGTGTTTCATCATATTCATCAATTATGTTCATTTAAGCTTAAGTGTTCATTCAACCATCATATGTTCTTAAGTATCGGTCATCTGCACGGCAATGGTGCGTGATATCTTCTAATCGCCTTAGCATAAGTTAATCATGCGTGAATGATGCCTTAAGCATGCTTAGGTATATAATTATCACAAGTGCATGGAAGCTTGGGACAAGTCACGTGAGTTCCTATCAATTTTATCACATGTGGCCTCTTCATGACAAGTACAAGATGACTAAGCCAACAATAGTACACCTTATGCCCTAGATGCGCGGCAAATGGCACGAGCCCATTGGCCGTGAGTTTAACCTCCATTCTTTCATTATTTCACCGTCTATAAATCAGGTGCTTGGACATGTTTTCCGCTTATAACCTAAGCTATTTCCTAAGCAAACTTTAAACAGGATTAAGATATATTAATCCTATTTTACCGTACGCACGCGAGGAAGAAGAAGGGACCGAACTATCATCAAAATCTTGTCAACTTTCACCGGGCAATCGAAGGGTAATATGATGCTGACCCTGTTATTATGTTAATTGTTTCATGCTGAGTTCAAATCATCAGTCTAAGTTCATATAATGACCCTAAATGCGCTCGAATGTACATTTTAGGTCATATTGAACCAACTCCTTATGTAGTCGACATCTCTCGAACAAATTTGGTGTCATTAGTCCTTATTTAATGTGTTATGTTCAGTCAAGAAAGATAGCTCGAGATAAGTTGTCATTTTGTCCATGAATTGGCTAGAGGAAGTGGACTGCGCACGCCCACGGGCCGTCCCTAACCCTATCATGATATCTTTCATTGTGATCATATTTGTTAGGGACATTTATGTTTCAACAGCCTTTAAATGATGAATTATGGTCAATCTATTCATATTGCTCGAGAAAAGTTCATGTTTGGTCGAGGGTACGAGTTAAGGCCGTCGGATGCGCCTATCGTGCACGCCGTGGCCAATCATGCTAAATAAAATCAAATTTCATGTTATTATCATGACCCTCAGACCTATGTAAGTGTAAATATGTTAATCATGTCAAGTTATGCCATATTGGTCGAGGTACGTTGCCGAACGGCCGGCAAGGGCCGGTCGTGGGCATGCTGCCGCACGTAGCGGCCATGCATGCTGGCAGACAAGCAGACGGGCGGGCGCTGTGTGTGTACGTCCAGTCGGGCATCATGTACGGCCTCGGTCTGCATCTATCGTCAGTCCAATAAGTGCTTAAGGCTCGCAGCGCATCTTCATGCACGATAGTGCGATGAGCGTCAAGCCAGCGGGCTTCGGCCAGTGCCAGTCGCACGGCCAAACGCCCGGTATCGCCCAGGGTCGCCCGGCAGCGCCCGTGCGGTAGCAGCTTACCCCAGGTGACGCCAGTCTGCGCCTAAAAGCGCGACCCCGTGTCCAATGGCTTGTCTGAGGTGCCGATAGCGCCCAGCTGTGCCCAGTTGGCGCCTGACCGCGCCAGGTTCGCGAGACCGCATGCCCGATCGCACGACAGCACGCGCGATTAGCCACGGTCGAGCCCAGTCATGCCTAGCCGTGCCAGTTTGGTCCGGGGGGGGGGGGGGGTCTGGCCAGTCGATAAACCGACCGGTTTAGACCGGTTTTGGTTAACTTTCATATCTAATGACTTGAGTCATGTTCAAATCAAATTTTCAGTCAAATTCAGAGTCCGGTAATATTTAGAAAATTTATATCAGTCCGGTTTCAATAATTACTTGATTCCGATCATATTGGTTAAGTCCAGATATCATATTAAGTCAAGTCGAGCATCTTAATAATTAAATTTATTGATCTGAGCATAGTACTTAGTAATTGTTTATATTATGTTACAGTTTGATCAGTTCACGACTATCAGCACTTCCAGTTTCATGTCTTCAGCACAGGTGGGAACTCAAACTGGGTATTACATTGATTATAATTACGATATCATGTTCAAGGTATGTCAATTATGTTTCCGCTTGGAATGGATGTTGGCCGGTTCAGGTTGCCATACTTCCGTTCTAAGTTCTAGTGGCGTCATCGACCACTAGTATGTGCACATGGATTCCGGCTGGAATTATTATCATCATTATCATTATTACCATGGCAGCCGGTAGATTCACGGGTCCCGGTCCGGTTATACTATTGACCAGGAAATTCACGGTTATGTTATATGCTTCTGATCATGATTTTACTATTATTATTGCTGTTTACTTTAGTATGAGTTCCTACGGAGTACAGTGGTACTCACTTCCCATTTTTATCAAATTTTTCAGGTCACGGAGCCGGAGCGGAGCTGTGAAGTTGACGGATGGATCGATGTTAAATATTTTATTATCTTGTTTTGTCACGCTATGTTCCGCTGATTTCACTGTTTGTCAAACTTAGTCTTTTGATCCGATTTCACAGTCGGATTGTATATTATGTTAATCCATTTTTCTGTAAATTTTAAACGGCCTAACGGATTTTTAAGGATAAAATAAATATTATAGTAACACTCCGAATCATAATCTCAAATTATATTTTCATAAATTTTTTAAAAACGTACTCTGGTAATTAAGTTAAAGCGGGGTGTTACACCGGGACCCCTCCCGGCGTTGGGTTCTTGCAGGTACGGAGGTCGCACGAGTCAAAGGAGCCCGAGTGAAATCTTATTCACTTCATTGGCGCCGTCTGTGGGACCCGTTTAAAAAAACCAAACGGAGTTCCGATCGAAATATCACGAAAATTCTCCTTCGACTTTGCTGGGAAAAGTGCTCGGATCGTAAAATTGTTTATGTCAATGGGTAGATATCGTCGAGGTGAAGCTCTCCTTAAAATCTCATTCGAAAATTCAGTCGGGAAGGCTGTCAATTTTGTCGGTCAATATTTTCGGATCTAAGAAATTTCGGTCAACTCTCGACCTTCAAATCAATTTTCCCGACGATCCGTGATGGCTATGAAAAATCCGGGAGCACCATTGGAATCCTCTCAACAAGAAGAATCTACAATGATTGACCCCCGCTGCCGCCTCCGCCGCCCGCCGCCGCCGCCGTCGGCCGCCGGTCATAGTCCTCCGATCAGAAAAATCTCTACATCACCGTGGAGCTCTCGTCTTGCTCGTTCTCCCCTAAAAATTTCACGCAAGGATAACGCGGGGAAGACCGTCAATTTCACGGTCAAAATTTGTGGATCTTATAGATATTCGGTCAAAATCCGGTTGTCTTCCCCGATTTTCTGTCGGTTTCAGGCGACTCTCCGAAACGATGGCACCACCAAGACCACCTCGTCCTATCTCGCAAGGACGTCTACCTTCGCCGGATACAACAGGATTTCCCGGGACTCCTGGGTATTTTCGCCGGAATAGGGTCAGGTCCGCTCGGAGCTTTGTAGCTCGTTCCATCGCCGCTAAATCGGACCGCTCGGAACCCTTCGCCAGCTCGACCAGATTGCACGTTTGCTCGAAGCTTCTCGACCACCTGACGTGTTCGAAAATCCGTCGTGCAGCTCGATTAGATTGCAAACTCATTTGAAGTCCCTCGGTCGGGACAGTTTTCTCACAGGAATATTCTCGCGACAGCTCGGAGTTTTGTCGTGATTCGATTAGGTCAAGGTTCGAGGTCCGTCGCTTGTCTGACCAGATTTGCAGAGATGGTCGTAATTTCATCGCGTTTGTCGGTCTGCTCAAAGACTGCTCGACCAGGTTGAAGAAAGCCCACCTTTTATTGCGGCCCGCTCCCCTCCCAATACCCGGCCCAAATCTCATCAGCTCCGCGTGGGCCCCGTGCGGCCCGCTCCTCAAACATTTCCTAGCCCGCGTGAGCCTGCCCTTCAGCCCGCACTCCCACAGCTTTCAGCCCACATGAACCCGTTCCACACCCTGTGCCCTTCCTCTGTTCAGCCCGCGTGAGGCCCAGGTCTGGCCCGCGAGCGGCCCACTTCTCCTGCTGCCCTCAAGCCAGCCCAACCAGCTCACACATGGCCCAACTAGCATAGAAATGACTCAGCAAGCACAAAAAATGGCCCAGAATGCTATCAACTTTGTCCAATAGCCCCATTTTGTACTCAAGACTAATTCGTGATAATTCGATGCGCACGGTGAGGTAGTTTGAGATAATATTCTCATGAGGAAGGTATGAAGCTAATCTAAATTATTGGTTCAAGGAATTGTTTAATTGGTGAAAATGGGAGTAATATTTGATTTATTGGTGGAGTACTAGTGGAATTATTTTTGGAGCATTATTTGATTGGTTCGATGAATTTATTTGATTTATTTGAGGAGTATTATATGACTTATGCATGGAGATCATTGGATTATTGGTGGAACATTATTTGGTTTATACGTGACGCTTATATGACTTATTCGTGGTAATATTCGGTTTGTTCGAGGAGATTTATTTGATTTGCTCGAGATATTATGTGATTGATTCGTGGTGATATTTGATTTGCTCGAGGAGAATATTTGATATATTCGTGGAGTTTATTTAACTTATTTGTGGAGATATTATTTGATTTAATCGTGAAGAGCTTATTTGAGAATAAATGTGGGTCGTGATTTTGAGTCGAGGATGCTTCATGATAATACTTGACGTGTATTTGGTGCATTTATCAATTTTTATTGGTGGGCTTGAGGAGATGGATTAACATTATATGATTTGATATTTGATATATTCGGAGTCTCTCATTTGGATTTTTATGTGAAAGTATGGAATTTTGCTTGAATTGATTATTCATAATATTTAAGCATGTCGTTGCTCGAGTATGTCTTAAATCGAGGAGATGGTGATGATTGTATTTGATCTCTTATTTTTCTTGCGTGGAGAGTTGCAAAATAGATGACGTGAACATAATATGGATAACGATATCTCTTTGAATTCTTGTCGAGGAAACACCGAAATAACCCGAGTCTCGACAAGCTATGGTGGACGAGTTGTGGAGTTTCGAGGACAAAATGAGTGAGCATGGATCCATCAAAGCAGGGTGATAAGGAGGGACAAGTCTGGATGGTGCCGATCGCAGGTGGCAATTTCAAATGCAGAAATCATTCTCTTTCGGAGAGGTAGGATAATTGGGAGTGGCATTCTCAACTTTCAGGTATAAAATTAATCCCAACTCTTGTGAGTGGTCAAGTTCGGCCGACTCAATATAATGAAACACTGAGCCTCTTAGCATTCTTTTTTGGAGTAATATTCATTGTTTTGAATACTCTGGGCGAAATGTTGCTGAAATTTGGTGTATGTGGATATGTCTGGAATTATTATTTGGGCGACTAACAAAATGCAGAAAATGAGGTGTACGTGGAGCCTCGAACAAAATCTGGCACGACTAAGGCCTTCGGGCTGGCCAGTCTCGAGTCGTCATGACTAAGGAGCTCGGTATTGGGAGTAACTCATTTGAATTTTTGTTTGGTGCATTCGTTTAATGATTGTTTGTAGCTGCAGAGTATGGTTCATTGTAATTGTTTGTTGAATTCATGGCTTTGTGAAATTCTGGTCGACTGTATATTTGAGTGGGTGTTTATGCAATTTCATATCGTGGTCGAGACTTGCATGTAGATTGAGGTGTTGTATAAGCGAATGTGGACCAATTTGATTGCTTTGATTTATTCGTCTTTTGTTATTATTGCTATCGAGATTGCAAATTGGATGGTGTGGATAAAATACGACTAATGGAATCTGTTGAATTATTGTCGAGGAAAATGCATGAGCAGGTGACCTGGATATTAGCTATGGTGAGGAGTGGGAAGCATGGAGCAAACAACAACTCGGGTCGTCGTGTACAAACATGAAAGGGAGGTCGACAAAATACTTGATTTTGTTTATTTTTATATCTTGTTCGATATAACTATGCATTCGAGGGGACTAACGAAAATGATCAATTATTATTCTGTCTCGTGGTCTTTGGTGTGTTTTCTTGTCGACCTCAGTGGCAGGTCGAAGTGTTCGAGCAGCTCGAAGACAAAAATCCACCATGACTAAGGCCTCCGGGCTGGGTGGTCACATGTAACGACCACTCCTTTGAGGGTGGGCATGTGCTCGAAGACCTAAATCCTCCATGACTAAGGCCTCCGGGCTGGGTGGTCACATGTAACGACCACTCCTTTGAGGGTGGACATGTGCTCGAAGACCAAAATCCACCATGACTAAGGCCTCCGGGCTGGGTGGTCGATCCTGGTGTTGGGTCGGTGAAGACATGGATCCTATTTGTGACCTCGGTGGCAGTTCGGTTATCTTTATTTGATTCTTGTTTTCGTCGAATTTATTTTTCGACTTCAAGATAATGGAGATGGAGTTCATTGCGGATAGCTCGAGCAGACCTCGGTGGTAGGTCGATTATCTTTATTTGATTCAGGTTTTGTTGATATTCATTGTTGCTCGAGCAGTGGCAGGTCGATGGTATTGATTATTGTTCGAGCAGACTGATGGTTTTTGAACGGTTTGGCCTTGTCAAAATTATCTTTCGACCTCGGTAGCAGGTTGGGGGTATTCATTATTGATCGAGCATGTTAATTGCTTTTTATTTGATTATGGTTTTTTCGAATTTATTTTTCGACCTCAATGGAAGATAGAGAGCATTAATTACAACACGAGCAGGTTGATGGTTTTCGCTTGGTTTGGTTTTGTCGAATTTATTTTTCGACCTCGGTGGCAGGTCGAGGAGTTCACTCGGAGCAGTTCACGGAGTCAAGTTATTCAGGTTGATGATTTTATTTCGTTTTGTCGAAATTAGGCTTTCGACTTCGATGTGGTGTCAGGACATTCGGTTTTCGAGAGGATAAATAACAGGGTTGAATTTCAAATTTTGAACTGAGGGGGCGATGATAGGACGAGGTGGTAGGAAAGGTTTATCTTTGAATGAAGAGTGCTCGAACATGGTGATCGAAAAACAACAAGACGTAAGTTCAAATTTTTAAATTCAAGACTTCGGTTTTCTGTTTTCGACCTCATCGACGGTCACTCGGTTCTCGATTTTCGACCTCAGTAGTCGATCAACTTTCCGTGTTCGACCCCAGTGGCGGGTCTCTCGATTTTCGACCTCAGTGGTCGATCAACTTTCGGTGTTTGACCCCAGTGGCGGGTCTCTCGATTTTTTACCTTAGTGGTCATTCGGTATTCATTTGGGGTCCCGATGCTCATTTAGAGATTTGGTGACTATTTGGTGGTCGATGGTTTATTCAAATTACAACCTTAGTGGTAGGCTGACGGAAACAGCTCGAAGAGGAATTTCACTCTTAGATCGAGTCATTCAGACTCGACCAGAGTGGGGAGGACTAGATGATATAGGATATTATATACTAGACCAGTCCTAATGGATAAGAGGGGAATATATTGAAGAATATGCCTACACATGGCTAGGACACGTGGCACGACGCTATTGGACAAGCCCAACTTGGGCCATAAGGTACACTCCCCCTATAAAAGGGGGCTAAGGTATCCCATTCTCACACTCTCTCTACATTCATTACTACACTTGGGATTTGGAGTAATTCTGACTTGAGCGTCGGAGACCCGACGCCGGGACCCCTCCCGGCGTTGGGTTCTTGCAGGTACGGAGGTCGTACGAGTCAAATGAGCCTGAGTGAAATCTTATTCACTTCACTCGTCTTATAGAAACTGATAATAAAACTTAGACAGTTAAGCAGACAAAGCAGATCTAGCAAGAAAATCACATAAGGCACATAGATGCATATGAACACTTAAAATTGGACTGGATTCTCTCAGCTCAACCGACTATCTTAGTGTTTCTCGGAAAAATTCTTAAGCTCGGAAACCAATTTTTCTGTATTTTCTGTACCGTCTCGAATCAGCCATTCTCGCCGAACTCCGGCAACTATTTCCGACCAACTCACATACTAAATGAATGTTTATGAATGAATGTTCGGTCAGTTAAGTCCATGCATGTTCATTTAAATCATTTACTAGAATAGAATGATCGACTAAACTCTCTCGATTTTTATAAAATCGAATATAACTCTGAAAATTCTCAAACTTCACAGTAAAATAGTTCACTTAACCATATACATGCTGCTCAAATTTCAACTCATTTGAACTTTAATAGCCTATCCAATTAGCATCTCAAACTTAACATATGAAATACAAGAAATTCTCCTTAAAATTTCACATTAATCCCGCAAGTATTGGGGGAGTTCTAAAGCATCAAAGTTCAACTCGACATGCATTCGGTCTAACAAATATAACTCACTCATTTATTATGATAAAATCATGAAATTTGGTGTGCATGCTCTTAACTTATATATAAACATGTCCTAAAATTTCATAATTTTATCCTAAGTATAACTCGAGTTATTCGGGTTTGAAGTCGCAACTAAATTCGCGCAGAAAACGTTCAATTTGCACATCTAACTTTAAAAATCAATAACTCAAGTTATACTAGGCCAATTGACTTCATTCTTGATCCTATGAACTCTTCTTTTCCACAAAAAAATATCCATAAAATTCGCACACTCCCATATTTTTCAGAGAATACGCAAACATGTACGAAAACATAGCATATAGAACATGCAAGAACAACTGGGAGTACTTAACATTAAGCATGCTTGAAACTACTTCAAAACTTAACATATAGAGCTCAATTACATATCAGTCAAATCCTTATCTCATCTATTTTATGATTCTAAAAATATTTTATCACACCAACCTCTTTAAT